CATCAGTTATCTTTCTTATAATCAAGGTAAGAAGTAAGCACACACACACACACAAACACACACACACATAAATGCATCGAATAGTCCTATATTCAAGTTTTTCCACAGTGATTAAAAAAGAGTATCAGCTGTAATCATACTGCAATCCATGATATCTTGTATAACCATTTCTGAAGGTGCTCTATGAGAGAGGGGTTTCTTTTCGCTCCTCATTTCTCTTCCTCTCAGCCTGCAATCTCATTCATCTCCTCCGGACACTTTTCCTTATGCCAAAATCACACATTCCCTATTCCATCTCAGATGACTACAAATATGGGTGAGTGAAACGATAAGCTGAGAATTAACTGAATATACAACAGTTCATAAGTTTTGGGTCAGAAATGAATTATTTTATTCAGCAAAGATGCATTATATTGATCAAAAATTACATTAAAGACTTTTACGTTGTTACAAAAGATTTATATTTTAAATAAATGCAGTTCTTTTAAACTTTCTATTCATCAAATAATCAAAAAAAGCATCATGGTTTCCACAAAAGCATGGACAAACAGGACAACTGTTTTCAACACTGATAATAATAATAAGAAACATTTAATGCGCAGCAAATCAGCATATTAGAATGATTTCTGAAGGATCATGTGACACAAAGTCAGCTTTGCCATCACAGGAATAAATTAAATTTTAAAATATAATCAAATGGAAAGGTTATTTAAATACAATATTTCAGAATAATATTTCACAATGTTATAATTTTTACAGTAATTTGGTCAAACAAATGCAGCCTCGGGTGAGCATAAGAGACATCTTACAAAATCATTAAAAAATCTTAACAAACCCCAGACGTTTGGACGAAAGTGTAAAATAAATGTTAAATTCTAATTCAGATATTGTTTATATGATACATTTATGTTTTTTGCAACAAATAAGTTGAATAATTCCATATATTTAAAACAAATGTTATATATTATTGTAGATAAATTAAGCATAGTGTATATATACTCTATATTTAGTATGTAGTAAATCTGATATAGCCTTAATTACGTATAGTACAAAATTCATGATCTTATCCATATTAATTCAAATGCAAATCCTTATTTACAGGATGAGCTGTGTTAAATCACATAGCTACAACATTGAACAGTACGAGGCAGAGCGAGACCTGAGTTCAGACAGAGGCAGAGGTGTAGATGATGAGCCACTGGAGACTGACACACTAAAGCTAACAGACAACTCTGAGACAGGTGCTGCTTTGCCAACATAGGTCTTAGTTTAGTAGAAAATGACTGCATGATTACTGAAACCTTTCTTATCAACAAATGGCTTCTTCTTCTTCTGCTATAGACAGTTTTAGGAGCTGTGTTCTGTCCTGGTTCTTCCTGTGGCACCTCATATGGCTGTCAGTCATGCAGCTGCGGCATTATTTCTTCATTGGAACTCTGAATCCAATGCTCAATAGACTGGCCAACCAAGACCCAGACATTGGTAAACACATTTTCTCACTACTATGATGCTTTTCAGTGAATTCTGTGAAATCTTTGTTTATGGTAGGAGCCTCTCAGTTCATAAAATGAACTGGAATTTGAATGACAGGAGGAGGAATTTACTGAATTCAAAGACATTTAACACAATCACACATCAGACTTTGAGGTAAATTAAAGAATTCTTAATTGATGTAAATTATTATATTAAATATTTATAAATTATATATTAAAAAAATATAAAATCAATGAACATTAAAATAAAACATAAATTAAAATGTCTGTATTTCTGACATTTCAAACATTGACATATGATGATATATTTCTGGAAATATCCCATTTGTTGTGTGTAGGATCATTTTTATGGGTGATTTTTACTGAAAGAAAAATATATATTGTTAAAAACTACACATGAATTTCATTCCATTTTAATTCTACTCCCTTAGATACAATTCTGCATCCTCTTTGCTATACCAGTCAAAATTCAGGAATGGAATTGGATTTTGCCATTCTGACTGGCAACAACCCTAGGATCATTTTCAAATGCCTTACTGCGATAGTAGCAGAGGTTATAGGATTTGACTGAGACTTCTTTATCTCTTTTTCATTCTCAGTGAGTGAGTACACCAATGCGTTTGCTTTCACCCAGTTCTGTGGAGTTCTCTGTGCTCCCTGGAATGGCCTGCTAATGGACCGACACAAAAGAAAACCCCTAGATCCAGGTCAGTTGACAGGGAAATGTGAAGATCTGTCTTCTCACACCTGTACCATTTTTCTTTCTCATTCCCACCCTGGATATTTTTGTAGGTGTGTCAGAACGGGAAGCAGACCTGCGCTCGTCCGTTCTATCTCTCCTCCTCACCTCTCTGCAGTGCCTGTTGTTCTCCATCTGTGCAAGCATTCCGTTCCTCCCTCTCCAGTACGTCACATTCATCCTTCAGGTCCTTAACCGTTCTTTTCTGTACGGAGGGAATGCTGCATTCATCAGCATAGCGTAAGTAAAATGAGTGATATAAGTATCTTGATTGTCGCTAAATTTAAATCTTTTCTTAAGTGAGTGCAATGAATCTGAATTCCTACAGGTTTCCTGCCCGTCATTTTGGAAAGCTGTATGGTCTAGTGATGTCCCTATCAGCTGTGGTGTCACTGCTGCAGTATCCCTGCTTCGCCCTCAACAAAGTTCTTGGAGGAGACCCCTTCTATGTAAATCTATGTTTCCCATTCCACTGTTTCAACTACAAAGAGCTCATATACATACAGTGGCCCCAAAAGTATGTGTACACTTGTAATTGCATGAATGTCATTGAATTTTATCACAAAATCAAACCAAGTGGCATTTATTATAAATATAGCTTTTCACAAAAAGAGGTTTAAAATGATAAAACAATATACTGAGATACTGTTCAGAATGAAGACAAAAAGTATTGTTTTTGTGCAAATGTTAGTGGAATATGTCTATAGTTAATGTGAAGTTAGTTCTGAGAAAATTCTAGCATTATATCTTTGCAGAGAACTTCATTTAATATTTTGTTATCTAATGTAATAAAATTCATACATTTTAAGTGTGTCCATTTGAGGTTTGAAATACTTTTTGGGGCCGCTAGATGTTGATCCTACACTCTAAAAAATGCTGGGTTAAATACAACCCAGTGCCATTTCTGCCAAAAAATCATGCTTTGGTATATCATAATTATAATATAAAAAGTCAAAATGATACAAAGTTATAATTATGAGATAAAAAGTCAAAACTGACATAAGCTGAAATTATGTGATAAACATTGTGACATAAAACAGCATTTTTTCTGACATAACTGTTATCCGAATCCTTGACATTTTTATGACGTTTTGTCTCAATTTTGACTCTTATGCCATATTTATGACTTTTATCTCATAATTTCAACTTTTATCTCATAACTTAGTATCTCACAATTTTGACTAATAATGTTATAATTATTGTTTTTATGTCTAAAACATAACATTTTGTTTTAAATACAACATGCTATGGACATAAAAAGTAATAGTTCTGATCAAAAATGATTAGATATGTGGCAGAAATGTTCTTCCATACAATACCTACAACTACAAGATTGTATGGTTAAATGCTATATACTAAAACTATATAAATACTAAAAAAGCCTATAAAAGTGAGTTTTTCACATCAAACCTAAAATACATATGTAAGATTGCTCCATAAACATTTCCAGCAGCATTTGATTAAAGGGGCCCTTGATTATGATTTCACTTTTTAACTTTAGTTAGTGTGTAATGTTGCTGTTTGAGCATAAACAACAGCTGTAAAGTTACAACGCTCAAAGTTCAATGCAAAGGGAGATATTTTATTTTACAGAATTCACTTTTTAAGGCCTACAACACACGGCTGGTAGGGACTACAAAGAGCTTCTTCCTGGGTTGGTGACATTACAAACCCTAAAATTTACATAAACCTTTGAACATGCAACAAAGAGGGTGAGGCCATGTTGGGTTGCGAGGAAGAGTTGTTGTACTAGAGTGTTACTGTTATAAATTAAACAATTACTCTACAAAAATGCTACAACGCAATCATGTATTCTGCTGTACTAAAGCTTTAATAAGGATAAAACCATATATCAAAAGATAACATAAACAGCAGTAGCATTTACAAATAACAGCATATCTAAAAAGTATGAGACAACTACAAACAAAAAACATACCATTCTGAAACGTCCTGTAAGAGCCATGCTTGCACAGGTTCTGCCCGATCCTCTTCAATAATATTCTCTGGGTCTGATTCGGGCTCAAATTGATATGGTAATATATTGACTCCATTGTTTACAGTACACCAGAGCACATACAACTACCCGTTAGGGGCGTGGTGTTTCCGGACAAATATGTGAAAAATAATGCGTTTTTTTTTTTTTAAGCAAAGCATGAACACATGTTACAGTGCACCCAATAAACACAGTCAAGCCTTCGAAAATAGCTGATTTACCACCCCTTTAAATATTAGTTTTAATTCCGTGTGTGTAAATTGACCAAAATCATTAACAATTAAGTTTTCCACAGCTTTTACTGTAATCAGTAAATGTTAGTGTATTTCTGTGTTTCTGTAGGTGAACATCATCTTAACTGTCCTGACTCTACTGGCCTTCATTCATCCTGTCTATGTGTTTCTTCACTGCAGAGAGATGGCAAAACAGCGAGAGAATTCACAGAGCATTTTAGAAGCCTCCATACAGGAAACATCAATGTATTAATTTAAATCACTTCATCTATAGACATACTTGATTAATGCATATGATTATGCAAATCTATCTAGGCCTTAGCTTTTGTAACTGACAAAGGGAAAATTAATAAGCATTGTGATTATTGTGTATTCACGCAACTTTTTTTTTTTTTTACCACCATTGTATTTTAGAGATTTAAATACTCGAAAATAAGAGTTAATAGTCAGCATTTAAATTAATTCCATTTAATTTGTTATTGAATATTTACAATCTTAATGAGTACAGAAATAACAATAAATATATTGAAGTTTTTATTTATATAGTTCACTGTTGGCAAGAATAGATATTTAGATAAAAACTTTTGTTTAAACATAATGATTAAGGAACAAGGGGAGATCACATGGGTGTCAGGATCTTTACAAGGGATCTCCAGACTTGGGACAGGAGTTGTATAATATCCAGTTTTGCATGTTAATATCTTGTTCCCACAGGGAAAGCATTAACAGCCCAAAAAGCATCATACAGGAACTTTAGACCCATTAACCAGTGGTTTACCTTCCAAAACACACATAATACTGATTTATATCTAGCATTGCATTGTCAGTCCACAATGACCATGTACTACACATATACAATTTCAGTAGTTATTAATTACATTTCCATTCTGGGCTTTATAGCATGCTTTTATAAATAATGTGTGCTACAGCTATGCTTTGTACCCTTATAATTCTGAACATATGTGGAAACATGGAAAATTCCTTAATTAACTCCTTAATTTTTTTACCAAAATGCTAAAATAAATTAAATAAGAAACACACTTTTCCTCTTTGTCATAAAAACAAGCAAATATGTAAAATATCCCTGTATGAAGAAAGAGTATGGTTTAAATAATTTCATATGGTAGTTAATTAAAGCAGACGCATAGTATTTAACTCTTCACGTTAGGAGTTGGCAAACTGATTGTTCTCTTCCTTTTTCATGAGTCCTCTAAATTAGCGAGACATCATTCGGACAAACTCTGTTGAGCGTAAGGTGAAAAATATGTTAGTTAAGAGATGAACAGATAGTTTCCTTTCCAATTTATGAGTAGAAATACCCAAGTACTATAGTGTGTGTGTGTGTATATACATATAGCAGACACTTTTATCAAAAGTGAGTTACAAATGAGGAATATTCATTATAAAGAGGCATATATACATGATATATACAGTATATATATAATTTATTCATTCATTCCATAAGCATCTTTTATATACACTTCCTTGCCTCTTTATTAGGTACCCCCTTTTACCATCAAAAATGCCTTAGTTCTTTGTGGCATAAATTCATTAAAGAGCTGGAAACATTCCACTGGAATTTTGGTCCATATTGACATGATAGCATCATGCAGTTGTTGCAGATTTGTCAGCTGCACATGCGTGATGTGAATCTCCCATTGCACCACATCCCAAAGGTGCTCTATTGGATTGATATCTGGTGACTGTGGAGGCCATTTGAGCATAGGGAACTCATTGTCATGTTCAAGAAACCAGTTTGAGATGACTGAGTTTTTTGACCTGGCACGTTATACTGCTGGAAGTAGCCATACCAAGATGGGTACACTGTGGTCATAACGGGAAGGACATGGTCAGGAACAATACTGAGGTTGGTTGTGGCAAACGTGTGCCAAGAAAATATCCCCCACACCATTACACCAGCACCACCAGTCTGAATCGTTGATACAAGGCAAGATGAATCCATGCTTTCATGTTGTTTATGCCAAATTCTGACCCTATCAGTTGAATGTTGTAGCAGAAATCGAGACTCTTCAGACCAGGCAACCTTTTTCCAGTCTACTATTGTTCAGTCTTGGTGAGCCTGTGCGAATGGTAGCCTAATTTTCCTGTTCTTAGCTGACAGGAGTGGTACACAGTGTAGTCTTCTGCAGCTGTAGCCCGTTTGCTTCAACGTTGAATGTGTTGTGCATTCAGAGATGCTCTTCTCCATACCTCAGTTGTAGCGAATGGTTATGAGTTGCTATTGCTTTTCTATCAGCTCAAACTAGTCTGGCCATTGTCCCCTGACCTCTGGCATCAATATGACATTTTCGCCCACAGAACTGCCACTCACTGGATATTTTCTCTATTTTGGACCATTCTTTGTAAACCCTAGAGATTGCTGTTTGAAAATCCCAGTAGATCAGTAGATAGTTTCTGAAATACTCAGAACCAGCCCATCTGGCACCAACAACCATGCCACATTCAAAGCCACTTAAATCATCTTTCCTCCCCATTCTGATGCTCAGTTTGAACTTTAGCAGATTGTCTTGACCATGTCTACATCCCTAAATGCACTTAGTTGCTGCCATGTGATTGGCTGATTAGATATTTGTGTTAACAAGCAGATGAACAGATGTACCTAATAAATTGGCCGGTGTGTGTATATTAACATGAATAAAGGCTATACATAATGGTTTTCCCAAATGCACATGCAAAAATCAAAATTCAAGAACCCGTGGAGCAAAATTATAATTCTAACCTTCAAAGTCAACCTGGCCATCTCCATTGAGGTCGACATCCCTGAGGATCTCATCAATCTCTCTGTGGCTGAGCTGCTCTCCCATCAGCTTCTTCATGGCTTCCCTCAGTTCAGCCAGACTGATCTTACCATCACCGTCGGAGTCAAACTGAGATTAAAAAGGGTGTGACTTCAGAAAACTTGGGAATACAGTACACCTGTCAGTAGCATGGAACACCAACCTCTCTAAAAGCATCTCTCAGTTCTTTCACTCCGATCATGTCTGCTGTCTCAGCCAGCATCTTTGGGCCCATCAGGTCTACGAAGTCCTCAAAGTCCACTCTACCGCCACCTAGTGAACAAACATACAATCATGTAAGAGGTATCATGAATACACCCTAGATGAGTGGTTCAGATATTCATGCTTTACTGAGTCTGTTCTTGAATAAAACTCTCAGTATAACTGAGATAATGACGTATAATGATAATGACAAGGTTGCCACTCACAGATCTGCTGACTGAGTTCAATCAGCTCCATTTCTGTGGGCATGTAGCCCATCGTTCTCATGCACTCGCCCAGATCCTTACAGCTAATGAAGCCGTCCTTGTCTTTGTCAAATTCTCGGAAGGCTTCTTTCAACTCTGAAGGCAGAGAAAGAATGAGAGAGAGAGAGCATCTTCAGTTTGTTGACATTAATGTGCAATCTGTCTGTGCAGTAAGAGGATTCTGAAGGATAAAGGCATGGTGATCACATTTGTCGGAGGAGTAGTTCATCCAAAACTACTCACACTTATGCAATTGCAAAGCAGTAGCCAATGTTTTTTTTCCTCCATAGAACACAAAAGGAAACAATGAAATTATAAAGTGAGCAGGGTCTGTCCAGCTCAAATGCTGTACAAAACTATCATATAAGTGGTCAATATGTCTTTTGAGGTCATACAATAGCACTGTATGAGGAACAGACTTTAATTCAGTTTAAATCACAGTTGTTTTTGAGACTGATATTATATATATATATATTTTTTTTAATTTGGAGAAATGTACAGGGTATTCTTTGATTTTCTCCTTTTGTGTTGCACAGAAGAAAATGATACAGGCTTGGAAAGACATGACTGTGAGTAAATTATTTTCAGCATTTGGTTGAATTGTTCCATTAAATGTATCTTATCAAGGGATTTAGAGGAGACTGAACGTAGATTCATATAAATTGAGAGAGGTAATGGCAAGAATCCATGTTGATGGAGGGAGTGAAGTCAATAAGGGAAGGAATCATTTCATTTTGGATGGTGGGAGAGTTTAACGCTCTTAATGGTATAAAGCATATCAATGATGTTGGATATCTCTATACCTTCAATTTCCTCTGGCCGTAGATCTCTGTCCTGCAGTGAGTACAGATTTCAAAGAGTCATACAGAGACAAACTATTAGGACAAACACACAGATACGTAGACAGACACATACATACAAAACATAATAATAATTAAAATAATAATAATTAATTAAAATAATGATAATATAATTATAACAACATATAAATAATACAAATAATTGAATTATTTTATTATTTTTTCATTACAAATGATGTGGAAAAATCATAGAAAATTGGTTAGAAAGTGTGGGAACCCTGTATTATAATCTCTCCTGTAATCTGCTTTGCATTCAGACTGGGTTTGTTGAACTGTCACTCAAAGTACATTGTACCAGCAAGCCTCACACACACCTGTCAGTGTTGCCGGGGGCAACCATCTGCACACCGCTGCATGAACACGCGAGTGGTTGAATGAAACACATGAGGCTCTGATTACTGGTCAGCACAAGTAAAAACAAAAGGAGTGCCTGCACGTAAAATGTGCTTCATATCACACATAACATTAATGCATCTACTTCTTTCCAGGGAAAGATTCAACTGATACAGAATGACCACCATATCCAAAAAAGTCCACAAAATCCTGTACGTAAAAAAAAAAAAAATGTGTGCCTATGAAGTCCATGGTAATATTCAAGAAATAGTTCGCCAAAAAATGAAAATTTGCTGAAAATGTACTTACCCTCAGGCCAACCAAGATGTAGATGAGTTTGTTTTTCATCTGAAGAGATTTGGAGAAATGTAGCATTACATCACTTGCTCACCATTGGATCCTCTGTAGTGAATGGGTGCTGTCAGAATGAGAGTCCAAACAGCTGATAAAAACATCGCAGTCCATCAATTAGTCTTGTGAAAAGCTGTGTTTGTAAAAAAAATAATAATAATTGCTTCTGGCTAAAATATGCGTCCTCTGTCTACGCTTTTTCCAGTGAAAAAGTTGTTTAATCAGGGGAGAAATATAACACTGTTTACAAACTTACAACACCGTAACGATGGATTTGTTTATTACAAACACAGCTTTTCACGTCACAAGACATTAATTGATGGATGGAGTTATGTGGATTACTTGTGGACTATTGCGATGTTTTTATCAGCAGTTTAGACTCCCATTCTGTTGGCACCCATTCACTGCAGAGGATCCATTAGTGAGCAATGTAATGTGATGTAATGCCACATATCTCCAAATCTGTTATGATAAAGAAACAAATTCATCTACATCTTGGATAGTCTGATTATATTTTCAGCAAATGTTTAAATTTTTTGGTTGAACTATTCCTTTAATGAACTTAGAATATAATTATGGATTTTATGGATTTAATATTTTCCTTACAAAAATAAGGTTGATTTTGTGCAGTTTTTGTAATTGCTCCCTTAATAATATTGAGGTCCTGAAGCAAAACTGACTGAGAACCACAGTGTTATGATATTATGGATTATATTACATTAAGTTGTCTAAGGATAGAAAAGCACACACATGGGACTGCGTGTTGTCAGATATTCATGTTCATGGAAATGGAAAAACTCAGTCATTAAAACATTATCAGCGTAACTCCAAATAAAAAAAGAACAAGCGGAGCAATGAAACTCGACTGAATCAACATTTATACATTACATAAGTAAGATAATAACAAATGGTAGAGTGATTTAGATTTTGATCTGATTGACTGAGCCTGTGTTTTGGCAGTGGCCAGCCAGAACATATTCACACAGCTGGCGACTATTTAGGCTGATTACTATGAATCGGAAAGCATGATGCAAGCAGCAGTAGAATAAGGTCACTATGGTGAACAGATTACAAGGGTCCAGGTTGCCAGGTAACAAATGGAGTCCAATGGAGTTCACATATAATATTTTGTGAAAATCAGGTGCTCACCCATACAATATATAGTTTTTACATAGTCTGTTCAACATGCACCCTAGAGCCTCAATAAGTGCTGCACAACTAAGAAGATGTGATATTACTTGGGGAAAAGGCTTTAGCTGTAATGCCCCTGTGGACTGTTTGTTGTGGTTTCTTCCCTTTGTGTTGGTTTAGCCCGTCTAATCATTAGTTAATCACCGTCATTGTGCTCACCTGTCTGCCTCTAATTATTCACCCCTTATTAGTTCCTGTCTGTCTGAGCATTGGTGTCGGTTATTGTTAATGTTACCCTGAGTGTGTGTCTCACCTACCTGAACCTGCCTTGTTGTGTCTACAATAAATGTCATTATTGGAATCCTTGTCGTCCTCGTCGTCCTGCCTGCCTCCACACACTCAGTTCCGTGACAGAATAACGACCCAAAACAACAACATGGAGATCGCTGCTCGTTTCCTCACCATATCCCGCCGGGATCTCCCCTTCTACGAGTATGCCAGGGAGTTCTGCAAGCTAGCAGCGGTGATGTCGTTAGAGGACGCCGTCCTTAATCAGCTGTTCTGGCTCGGGGCCAACTACCATCGCCCCATGGACCTCCCAGACACCACTGGACTAAGTTGGAGGGAAGGTGTCTTCCGGTGTCTGGGGAGTGTCCGGTCCCGAGCCAGAACCAGTCCGCCGCCGTCCGCGGCTCACTCAAGCCCGAAGGACGTTAAAGTGGCAAGCCCGAAGGACGTCGATGTCCTTATTAGTTCCTGTCTGTCTGAGCATTGGTGTCGGTTATTGCTAATGTTACCCCGAGTGTATGTCTCACCTACCTGAACCTGCCTTGTTGTGTCTACAATACTTGTCGTCCTGCCTGCCTCCACACACCCAGTTCCGTGACATTAGCTTGTCACAAACAATTTCAGGGAAATTTTACATTGGTTTTGTCTTTTTTTTTTTTTTTTAGCAATTTCTACAGCTTACACCCTACTCTATCCACACAAAAAGGATTCTGGGATTATCAGACAGATGGAGACATTGATATGAAACATTAAGCTACTATAAAACTACACAGTTGAACGCTCTCTCTCTTTGTATTTTTGACCACTTCCACCAGATTAACATAAGAAACTGATTGTACTGCCAATGGTAGGTGTAATATCTAAGGTGAAATATCTAAGTTTCACCTCTCTTTGGAGAAACATGCACAATGATTGTCTTTTTTTCCTGCAAAGACATAAGAGGTTTTTCCAAGATTCTCCCATGAGTAAAAAAGAACATTATACTAATGGTATATATAAATCATAGCCATATGCAACAATTGACAGCAGAAGGATATTACACTGTCTCAGTCCCATCGATCAATACTGGAGGCTTCAGGATCTAAATTACATTTTTAAAAAGTACTAATTTCTTCATTCACCCAAACCACTTCACTATCAGGTAATATTATATTATACTACATACATTTCTGATTTGGTGCACACTTAAGAATAGGTTGTAGAAATGCATTCATGTTAGGTTGTTGAGTGCATTTGTTTCTATTATGGACACTTTAATGTAAAGTATTACATTTAAGCATCCTTACAAATGCTGCATTAAGGACTTGGCAACATAAAAAATGACCTGACATTGACTCACAATGGCGAATAATGTGGCACAGTATCCTCCAATCACAGGAATGGGAGATGATGGGTCATTATCTAAGTAATGGGGGCTCAAGGGAGGTTAATAGGATTTGACTGAAGGTGGATAAGACAGAAAATGATAATCTGATTCCTTGATGGGAATTCTGACACTGATGGTCTATATATCCACACCATGCATTTTCTAAAAAAGGCTCGTTTGTAAGTGTGTGTGTGTGTACATACGAGTTGAACCTGAGCGAAGCTTTGTCGGAGAAAGATGCAGGCTGGGCCCACGATGTTGTGTAGCATGGTACAGTTCTGAACCAGAGCACATATCGGCTCCTCAAACTGCTGCCCCAGCTCTTCATCATCCTCATCCTCAGCTGCTGCATCACCGCTGCCTCCTAACATGGCGGATGCCAATGGCAGTCCACTGCCTTCCTGGGGCGGGACCCCCTTTGCAAGGAACCATTTCATTATGCACCAGACAAAATCGCAGTCTGACAAGGTCTAATACTGCTGTATGTGGTGAAATTATCTGTCAAAAAAATCATCCTGCCGATGTCTATACTATAAATTACATTATTATTTTATAATGAAAATATCCTGGGAAACGAATCAGTTCTCACAATTTAAAAAAATTGTCCCATGTGGAACATAAAAGGAGACATTTAGCAGAATGTCCGACCTGCTCTATTCCATATAATGAAAGTGGATGGTGACCAGGGACTGACAAGTTTTAAAAGAGCACCATAAAAGCATCACAAAGGTGCACTATATTTCAAGTCTTCTGAAGCCATGATTGTTTTGTTTGAGGAAAAGACTGAAATGTAGGTTGTGATTACTGGAAATATTAAAAGCATTGCTCAAAAGCCATGGTCACCATTCACTTTTATTGTAATAGAGCAGCTTGGACATTCTGCTATAAATATCATGTATCAAATATAATTCATCATTATATATAGTACTGTTCAAAGGTTTGGCGTCAGTAAGGGTTGTTTTGTTAAATTAATTAATAGTTTTCTTCAGCAAGGATGCATTAAATTGATCAAAAAGTACAAGACATTTATAATGTTACAAAAAAAAAATTATATTTCAAATAAATGCTGTTCTTTTGAACTTTCAAAGAATCCAGAAAAAAGTATCCATGTTCATCATTAATCAGCACAACTGTTTATAGCATAATAATAATAAGCATTCAGCAAATCAGCATATTAGAATGATTTCTGAAGGATCACGTGACGCTGAAAACTTTGGTAATGACTGGTGAAAATGTAGCTTTGCCATCATAGAAATAAATTATAATTATTTTAAAATAATGTAAAGTAAAACAGAGTTATTTCAAATTGAAATAATATTTTCCAATAATACTTCCTTGCTGTATTTTTGATCAAATTAATGCAGTTCTCAAAATAAGAGACTCGCTTTTAAAAATTAAACAATATTACCAACCCCAAAGTTTTGAAGTTTGGTGAAATGTTCCTTTAAGTTTGTACATTACAATTATTGCAACGTAATTGCAACTTAATCAATATCTTAACTTAT